TGCAATGTGTATGGTCTAGTTAAGTGAAAGTGTTACAGATTATTATAAAAATGTCAGTTAAATACTTCTTTCTAATTTTTAGGACATTAGTAAGCTTATAGTTAACATACCTAGAAAAATGTTAATTTGGCTCTAAGTAGAGTTTCGCTTTGTGCTACCCGAATTCCCTGAAATGCTCACCAGTTAGTTTCGGTAACAACCAGAACTCAAATATCAAATTTCAAGAAATTCCTTCAATTCGTTCCATAGATATGGTGAAAAAAAAATCGGCCCGCAGATCAGTTTTCGAGCCCTGATCTTTCCAAAAAATCTATATGTTCATTGTTTTAATACGAGTAATTTAAATATTAAATTTCAATGAAATCGGTTAATTATTTCTGTATATTTAGCCCGAAAAACTGTAAAATGCTTAAATTTTAATACATTCATATGTACATACACATATTTGAATAAAGTTTTTATTTTGTTTTTACCTAAACCTTTTCTTTATTTGAAAAATTTAATCCTATATGTTCACCCACAGTTTTAAAAAAACAGGTATCCATTCATGATTATATATGTTTGTACTTATAATTTTATTTCTAATTGTTCCAAGAGAAAATTTAAAAATGTTCAAATGTAATACATTCATATGTACATACGTTCATATGTTGGAACGAAAAATTTTAAAATCTTCAATTCTAACGCATTCATATATACATACATACATATATTTAAATAAAATTATTATTTCGTTTTTGCATAAAAACGCAATAATAATTTTTTTGGAAAATTAATTTTTGTATGTTTACCCCCATGATTTAATAATTATGCGTTTAAAATTTATTTCTATACAGCAAACTACAGTTTTCAATATTATTCAATGCATATAGAAAGCTTAAAAAAAATTACTCAGGAAGCTTTAAAAAAAATATGCATACATACATATTTATGTACTTAAAATTTTTGCAAATTTTTCCAAACTATTATAGTAATATTGTTTTTTAAATTTTCTTTAAACTTTTATAATAACATTTATCTGTTATATATTAAAAAAAATAAAACAAAAAATTTAAACAAAATTTAAAAAAAAAATTTCAAAATAATCCAAAAAAAGATAAATGACAATATCCAGGCAAACATCGATCTAATAACCTTCTGGTTATGGGACTACCACGCTACCCACCAGACTACGCAGTACCTTGAATTTTCCTTTATAATTCTATATTTAATTCGTATTTCATATAACTAATCAAAAACCATCATATTTTACATTATTATTATACATATATATATAGCTACTTCTCAGGTGCCAAAAAGTGTGGGTACTTCTAAAAGGGCTAGAAACATGGGACGAAAGGCATTAGATATACCTTTTCTATATTTGAAAAATTACATTCATATGTACATACATACATATATTTGAATACAATTATTAACCTTTTTTTATTTGAAAAATTTATTTCTATATGTTTACCCGCAGTTTTTAAAAAAACAGGTGCACATTCATAATTTTGTACATATGTTTATGCTTAAAATTTTATTTCTAATTTTTGAACAAAAAATTTTAAAATGTTCAATTCTAATATATTCATGTACATACACATGTATGTATTTAAATAAAATTTTTATTTTGCTTTTGCTTAAACCTTTTCTTTATTTGAAAAAATTTTTTCTGTATGTTACTCCATGATTTAATAATTATGTGTTTCTATATGCCAAACTACAGTTTCGAATATTATTCAATTCATATAGAAAGCTTAAAAAAATTAGTTAGGAAGCTTTAAAAAAATATATACATACATATTTATGTACATAACTATTGTAACAATTTTTTTTTGGAAATTTTCTTTAAATTTTTATAATAATATTTATCTGTTATATATTAAAAAAAATAAAACACAAAATTTAAACAAAATAAAAAAAAATTTTTAAAATAATCCAAAAAAAGAAAAATATGACACCATCCAGGCAAGCATTGATCCAATAACCTTCTGGCTATCAGACTACCACGCTACCCACCAGGCTACGCAGTACCTTGAATTTTCCTTTATAATTCTATATTTTATTAATATTTCGTATAACTCATTAAAAACCATCCTATTTTACACTATATATATATATAGTTACTTCTCAGGTGCCAAAAAGTACGGGAACTTCTAGAAAGGCAAGAGACATGGGGCAGAAGGCATTAGATGGGGTTTTGCCTCTAGGGTCCCAGAAAAAGCAAAAAGATGCTTTGTAACCGTTTTTTATAAAATGGTACTACATCCTGTAGGAGTAATTATTTGTTTACTTTTGGTGGTATAAATATTGTATGTAAATTCATATTTGGAAGTGTTAGTTATAACACAGTTATGTTTTATAATAAGTATGTACGTACGCATTTTGTTATATTCTTTTCGTCATCTGCTGCAATATGTATTAGTAAGCAAACCATTAGTGTACATTAAACTTCTTGATAATATATTTTTAGGGCAAAATTTTATAAGAAAATGTTATTCTATTGCATTAAACTTTTTACAAATGGGGTATTTTCAAAAAAATATTTAGAACGGAAACTCGCTGACATTGATTTAAGGGTGAAGTTTTTTTAATTTCATTTTAAAAAAATAAAATTATCAAGAAAAAAAGTTCATCTGGCAAATAGTGTTTTTGAGGGTTCGAACCTGGGACTTTTTGCATAGAAATCGTATTCTATACGCGTTACCCTATATAGTATATACGTTAGAATTGGTTAACTCATTCTACAGTCACGCGTTTTATTCGGATGTATTATAAACTCCAAATATATACGTGCATGTATTTTAGTAGCGAATTATTTTATGATATACGGTAATTTATCGCTTAAAGTGCTTATTGTAAAAGGTACTTTACGATTTTATACGACATAACTCAAAGCGAGGTTCTAAATGAAATTACTTAAAAGGTATTAGATCTCAAATGAACTTATTATTTGTTTAATTATGTACTTTTTGGTAATTAAATTTCAGAATTTAGCTTATTTTACGGGTGTGTTTTTAGAGAAATTAAGTAAACTTAAAATATCTCAGCCACGGAATGGAACACAATTTCAAAACTACAGGCATAATACTTGCAATATATATATAGCTACTTCTCTGGTATCAAAAAGTACGGGTATTCTAGAACGGCTAGAGACATGGAGCCAAAGGCATTAGATAGGATTTTGTCTCTTGGGTACCAGAAAAATCTGATATTGGAACTTTTTAACCCCGAAATAGCTCTATTTTAAGATTTTCAGAAAAAATTTTTATATAACAAAAACACGTTTTTCTTTTATACTGTTTAGCATTTTTCAAAAAAATTTTTGAAAAACAAGTACTTATTAGTTTCACTCTGTCCGTCCGTGTTTCTATTTACAAAACTTCTACACCCTTGAAGATAGAAAGCTGAAATTTAATACGTACATAGCGCGGTATACTATAGTTAAATTTAAAAAAAAACAAAATGGCCGTTCAAATTTACCGTTATCTAAAGTCCGTTTTTGATGTCGTTTATCTTCTAGACCCCAGCCTGTAAAAACCTGAAATTTTAGGGGCTTTTAGACGTTAATAAATGCTTCATTTCGATAGAAAATTTTTTTCCATCTCCACCCCAAAAATATTTAAATTGTTTTCTTGTTCTTTAGTTAATACCCAAGTTTCAGAGCCGTACAATTATACTGGAAGTATCAAAGTTTTATACAATTTTATTTTTACTTGTTTATCAAGTAGGCGTTAAGATGATTGCTTGTTTAGGCTATAATAGCATCTGTTTGCCAGGATTAGTCTTCTTGATACTTGGTCTGCGACATTATTTTGATTTTTAACTAGAGAACCTAAGTAAACAAATTCTTGAACTACTTCAAAATTATAATCATTTACTCTTATATTTTGGTAATTTCTTTCTCTGCGCGTTGATATCATAAATTTTGTCTTAGATTCATTGATACTTAGTCCAATTACTTTCGCTTCTTTTTCAATTTTTATAAATGCCTCTTTGGTGGCCATTATTGTTTTCCCAACTATATCTATATTGTCCGCATATCTCAATATTTGAACAGATTTATTAATTATAGTACCGGAAGTCTCTACTCCTGCTTTCCTTATGATTTTTTCTAGCGCAATATTAAACAGTTGACAGGACAGAGTTTCTATATATTAACTACGCTGTTGACATTTTGGAGCGTCATCGCTGTTAATTTTATCAGTTTTGTTGGGTAGTTAAAGTCGGTCATAGCTTCTATTAGTTTTCGTCTGTCAACGTTATCATAGGCTGCTTTAAAGTCGATGAAAAGATGATATGTATCAATTCCGAACTCCTTTGTTTTTTCTTAAATTTGTCTGATGCCAAATATTTGGTCAGTGGTCGATGAGCCTGCTCGAAATCCACATTGGTAATTTCCAAGTATTCTCTCTGTGAATGGTTTTAGCTTTTCTACTAGAACTATTGCGAATATTTTGTACGTCACGTTTATCAGCGTGATTGCCCTATAGTTCTCACAGTCTAGTTGATTGCCCCTTTTGTGGAGGGGGCATATTATACCCGTATTCCACTCAGAAGGCATTGTTTCAGTCTCCCATATTTTCTTTATTAATCTTAAGATTTCTTTGATTTATGTTTCCATTGTCCTTCAAATCTTTAATTTCTTGCATTTTGTTGTTTTCATAACTTTTTTTCTTTCTCTTGTGAATCCTTTTTCCTTCTTTTCTTTTTTCTTTATGCAACATTTCTAATGCTTTGGCTCTTCTGTGCTGTAGCTTCCTATATATTTCATCTTTTTTGATTCGTGAATGTGAAGAAACATTCGTTATCAAACCATTCATTTTTTCTTTCTCTGGATTTTATCCCTAAAATATTTGATGCTGCTGTTTTTATTGACGATTTAATTGCGTTCCATTCTTCTTCGACACTAATTTCGTTTGATAGGTTCCATCTTTCTAGATAATTGCTCACGTCTCTTTCATAATTGTTTGCGTATTCTTCTTCCTTCATCCTATTTGTATTGAATTTTTCTTGTCTTACTGACGTGGCTTTTTTTGCATTAGATATTCGTGCCTTTGTTTTAATCTTATCATGTAGTGATCGGAGTCTATATTTGCCCCTCTGAATGCCCTGACGTCTAATGCACTTGATTTATGTCTCGCATCTATAAGACAATGATCAATCTGGTTGAAAATATTACTATCTGGCGACTTCCATGTAACAGTATGTATCCGTTTATGCTTAAACATTGTACTTGCTATCACCATATTTTTTGAAGGTGCGAAAAATATTAGCCGCTTACCGTTGTCATTAGTTTGTTCATGCATGCTGAATTGTCCAATTTGATTATTATATATAGTTTCGTGTCCAATTTTTGCATTGCAGTCACCAATTATTATTTTAATGTCATTCTTAGGGCAATTGTCATATATTCTTTCGAGTTCTTCGTAAAACTCCTCCTCTTCTTCATCTGATTTGTCCTCTGTTTGTGCATGTACATTTATGATGCTAGTATTAAAAAATTTTCCTTTTAAACGGAGACAGCACATTCTTGGATTCAATTCTTTAAAGTCTATCACTAGGTGTCTTACTCTATTCATCACAACAAAGCCGGTTCCTAGTTCGTGCTTCCGTTCGTCACAGCTGTATCAGATATCACATTCACGTTTTTATACCCTGCACTTCGTGAAGGGTATGTTAACTTTGGTATGGAGTTTGTAACTACTTGAAGGAGTCATTTACGGTATAACTCAAAAACGAATAATGCAATCGACACCAAACTTTCACAAGTTGTTTCTTTTGTGCCAAGGACGAACCCTATTATTGGACCAATTCGGATAACGGGTTCGGGTAGCTGCCATACAACTCAAAGAGTTTATTTTAATTATTTCAAAAACTAATAAAGGTACAAATATAAAATTTTGTATACATGTGTCCACTTACATTTTACATATGCTCTAAAAATTTTAATGAGATAGCTGCACCGGTTCGGGTGGCTGCCATACAACTCCAACAGCAAATTTTTTATATTCGGCAAAATAATAAAGTCAGATTCATGAAACTTGGCAGTCGTGTGTCCAATTATAGGTCAAAGATATATCTGAAGTTTTGGTGGAATTGCTTGTCAGGTTCGAGTAGCTCCCATACAAGTCCAAAAGCTTACTTTAAATATTTGAAAAAGTAATAAAGTCAAATTCATGAAACTTGGCAGTTGTGTGTCCAATTATAGGTCAAAGATATTTCTGAAGTTTTGGTGGAATTGCTTGAAAGGTTCGAGTGGCTCCCATACAAGTCCAAAAGCTTATTTTAAATATTTGGAAAAGTAATAAAGTTAAATTCATGAAACTTGGCAGTTGTGTGTCCAGTTATAGGTCAGACATATCCGTTAAGTTTCTGTAGAATAGTTTCACAGGTTATAGAATGGTTTCACAGGTTATAGAATGGTTTCACAGGTTTGAGTAATTGCTATACAACAATGAAAGGTGCAGGGTATAATTCAATCGGTTCATACCGACTGAAACGTTTTTACTTGTTGTAATATACCATTTCCTGTCCATCTCATTTCTTGCATAGCTGTCACATTTGCTTTGTATTCTTTCAAAATTTTGATTAAAGTTCTTGTTGTATCTGGTTGATACAAAGTCTTTACATTCCATGAAAAAATTGTTAAATCATTGTTCAAATCATTATTCCTTGTACTTTGCCGTGGTCGATTCCGTGAATTCATCCTGATTATCCGAGGCTCATTTTGAGGTCTCATAAAATTGGCTTTTTACTGACTAGGTTGTTAGCCTTGTGCAAACCCTGCAATTCGGAGGGCCGCTGTCTAGTAGACCTGGGTATTTAGTCCAGGGTGGTGTCATCTATGGTTATACCACCAATTCTCGGCCTCATTTGTTTGAAATAGATTCCGCCAGATTTATAATTATGTATGTTTGTGTTTAAAATTTTATTTCTAATTTTTTGAACAAAAAATTTAAAAATGTTCAATTCTAATACATTCATGTACTTGTACATACATATATTTGAATAAAAATATTATTTTATTTATACCTAAACCTTTTCTTTATTTAAAAAATTACATTCATATGTACATACATATATTTGAATACAATTATTATTTTATTTTTGCCTAAACCTTTTCTTTATTTGAAAAATTTATTTGTATATGTTCCCCCGCAGTTTAAAAAAATAGGTATACATTCATAATTATGTATGTTTGTGTTTAAAATTTTTTTTCTAATTTTTTGAATAAAAAATTTAAAAATGTTCAATTCTAATACATTCATGTACTCGTACATACATACAAGTTAACGATAGAATCATACATAACGTAGAATGGAAATTTTCCCACAAAAATTGCTTTTTCACACAAAAAGTTAAAATTTATAATTTTTTCGTTATTTTAAAATTGTAACTTGAAACTTTTATTTTTTAAGTAAATTTAAATTTTAAATTCTTGTGGCTAACTTTGCATATTTGGCAAAATTATTTGCCACACTTTTAAAATGCAAAGTAATCAATTAATTAATAAAAGTAGAATCATTTTGTAGAATAAAGGCTAAGTTTAATTTGTAATTCAATTGAAGCATAATAAATATTTGAATTAACATCCAAATAAATTCTTTTTTTTAAACTTCGAACGATTAAACTCGTTAACTGGCGACCGTGACAGGACAAGCTCAATAGCACTATACCCATGAGAACATAGGACCGTTCAGAGCTTGTCACAAATAAGAAGATACCAGCAACTATACCCGTGAGAACATAGTCAAAAGATCTTGCACAGCAGTGATACTCATCTTACCATTAGTAGGGTAATTACAAGTGTAAACGTTTTTACCCAAACAGGAACACTACGAAGTATCCAAACACCCGAGGAGACGTCAATCTAAGGAATCTACATTATCTTCAAGGAAACGTCAATCAAAGAGGAACCTTTTTACAATCCGATGAACATTGGATCTTACATTTTGTAAGTGAATCAACTAACTAAATAAATAAAATGGAATTAATCCAAACTGCCTTAACAAACTTGACTGGGTCAGTAAATTCTCAGCTAGAAATGAATAAAAAATTAGAAATAAGACTCAACCAAATGGAACAGAGCTTCAAAAATGGTGGAACAACAGCTCAAACCATTCCCAAAGAGGCCTACAAGGGCCAAAAGACGAAAAAGAATTAGAGGACATTAGTAAACTGCCCGATACAGTAAAGGAACTCAGGCCAATTAATGGCAATCCAACGAAATACGTATCATGGATTCATACGGTAGAAGTCTCCTAAAGGACTATGAAATAGTGAAGCATAAACCTATATAGCTGGCAATCCTATAACACACCAGATAAAAGATCCGTGGGAATGCCGATTCGGCATTAGTTTCCTATAATATATTCGACGAGGATTGGAGCGAAATAAAAGCATGTTTATCCTTGCATTATGCGGACAAGCACGATCTTCGCACTTTGGATCACCAACTGTCAAATCTAACGCAGGGAAAAACGCAGCATCGACGAATTCTTTGCAACAGTCAACCACCAGTTGTCTTTAATAATAAACAAAATTAAAACTGAGAGCTACGCATCAGAAACCGTAAACGCCCTTAGCGCAGCTTATATAAATTGGGCATTAGATGTATTTATAAGAGGACTGAGAGGGGACCTCGCGCGTATGCTAATGATTCAGAGGCCGCTAACACTACCTGAGGCTTATTCCTCTTGTATGGAAATACTAAATTTAAATTTTCGAAGTATGCCAGTACACAACAGGAAATTCAATAATACAATCATAGCACCTGTGAATCAACTGACAAAGAGGCAAGCTGTAGAAACAATGGCACCACAGCGTAATCATAATATTTACTTGCCGAAAACTAATGCAAATGGTCCAACTCCAACCCCAGCTAGACCAGCACAGCCAAAACCACCAGTGCCAATGAGTATAGATGAAACAGTAAATGTTAACTATATGAACAGGCCCAGAGGTAACTTCCAACCAAATCACCAGGGAATCTTTTGCGCCGAACCAGAAGAAGAAGATGATTATGAAGACTACATCAAAAAATTGCGATAACGAGCTAAAATTAGTTGAAACGGAAAATGATGAAGATGTCAAAAATGAGCTAAATTTTATGAGTCAGGCCTCTCTAGCGTACCATACCTAGAGTATACTACTAGAGGCGACAAGCAATTGAAGTTTTTGATAGACACAGGAGCAAATAAAAATTTTATAAGAACCGAACTAGCTCCATTTTCAAAACCGGTAGAAAAACCATTTATTATAAGATCGGTTGGCGGAAATATTAAAATTACAGAAAATATAACAGGAAAATTCTTTAACAATATAGGGAACCCTGCCGAAACTACATTTTTCGTGCTACCTGGACTTAAAACTTTTGACGACATAACAGGAGATGATACTTTGAAGCAAATAGAGGCGGTTATAGACAGGAAAAATAATACACTGAAAATAGCACCAAACATCCACATTCCCTTAAAGGAAAAACACTCAGTCCAGGTCAACAGTTTAGAAATCAGAAATGAACATCTAAATACAGAAACTCAAAAAAAGTTAAAACAAAAAAGAAGCGAGGTGGACAGCCAGATAAAAAAATTACTAAATGACGGAATTATAAGATCATCGAAAAGCCCGTACAACTCACCTATCTGGGTAGTCGAAAAAAAAACTAGACACTTCTGGTATCAAGAAATATAGGATGGTAGTGGACTTTAAAAGTTAAACTCAATAACCATAGCAGACACCTATCCGATCCCGGACATCACCCGCACCATAGCAAGCCTAGAAAATTCAAAATTTTTCACAACAATAGACCTGACATCAGGATTTCATCAAATAAAAATGAAACCGGAGAACATCAAGAAGACAGCTTTTTCTACTCTAAATGGGAAATTTGAGCTTACACGACTCCCATTTGCGCTGAAAAATGCGCCATCTATATTCCAGTAAATGATCGATGACGTACTCAAGGAATTCATAGGAAAAATTTGTTACGTTTACTTCGATGACGTTATCATTTTTGGAGGTAAAACTGAAGACGAACACCTAAAAAATGTAGAGAAAATTTTCAACAAACTTCTAAAGGCCAATCTACGTGTAAATCTGGACAAGACAGAGTTTTAAAAAGGTTCAACCGAAATTTTGGGATTTATAATAACAACTGAAGGAATTCGAACCGTCCCAAAGAAGATTGAAGCCATCCAGAAAATAAAGTCACCAGAAACCGACGATTCATAAAGGATTTTGCCGCTATAGCCAAACCTTTAACCAAATTAATACAGGGAGAAAATGCCCAAATCTAAGCGAATCAGTCAAAAAAGGTCAAAATAAGCTTGAACGAAGAAGAATTAAAAACATTCCAAAAATTGAAAGAGCTATTAACATTAGCAGAACTACTTATTTTCCCTGATTTTCAGAAGCCCTTTATACTCACAACCGATGCGTCAAACTTCGCAATAGGCGCAGTACTTTCTCAAGGAGAAGTTGGAAGAGACCGTCCGCCTTTAACATTTACAATGAGCAACGGTAATAACAACTCGAAATTAAAACATTGGAAAGCTCGTATCGAAGAATATAACTACGAACTTGTGTATAAACCAGGAACTACGAACAATGTAGCAGATGCGCTCTCAAGGTTGCCGCCAGAGCTAAATATGTTAACTGCTTCAGGCGCGGTAACCTCATCATCAACTGAATCAGGCCGTAAAATTCATAAGGCCCATTTAAAAAACTCCAATCCAATTAATTAACCATTTTTTCTCTTTTCAGGCTAGGGATGCTTGCGTTAGCAACACCCTTACAAATTTACAAATATGACACGCAGCTAGTCACCATCAAACAGGGCGTTGCTTACATTTTGAACGGCAATTTTCATTTAGTCCACAAAATAAATCCAGAAGGCTTCCAAACAGTCTTGGAATTGGTTTCAAAAGAATTACAGCAAGTTACTACGAAAAATAAACTCAAACCCCAAGCGCTCCATTAACTGGTTAGGCAGCGCATGGAAATGCTTAGCTGGATCTCCAGATCATACAGACTGGGACGAAATTGTTAGGAACCAAAATACAATAGTCAAAAAAAAAACAATCAGCAGTATAAAATAAACGATGTTCTAATGAATACGACACAAGAAACCTCAACAACGTCAAACAATTACAGAAACTAATCACGAATGACATAATTGGAATTACCACAGACATCAGTATAACATCGGTTATTCTCTTCATAGCAGCAATACTGATAGCAAGAAAACTTATCGCAAAAGGTTCAACTTGGATACCACGAGTTATAGAATCAACCAGAATCCAGATTAATGATATAATAACGAAGCCAAAAAGCATTTAACCAAGGTAGACATCGATCCACGGGCCGTGGATCTTTCAGAGGGGAAGAGTTAGCGATAGAACCATACATAACGTGGTACATGCGCAATACCAAAAATGCTGACGTATCAATGGAAATTTTTTTACAGAAAAAGTACGGGTACTTCTAGAAGGGCTAGAGACATGGGACAAAAGGCATTAGATAGGGTTTTGCCTCCAAGGTCCCAGAAAAATCTGACATTGGAACTTTTTAGCCCCGAAATAGCTCTATTTTAAGATTTTCTGAAAAAATTTTTGTATCACAAAAGCACTTTTTTCTTGTATACTTTTTATAATTAGAAACACAAACCAAGAAATAAATTATACGTTTTACGTTATTATTAGAAAC